ATAGTAGAATATACCCCAAAACCTTAGTCTAATTATCAAGGTAGCTGCATTATGTTACCTGTGCTCTCCTTTTTACTTTTTGGGTTGCCTTATTGTTCAAGCAGAACAGAGGAAACCTAAACCCTAAACCCTAGCCCCCGAACCACACTAACATAGGGGCCTTAATAGTTAGAATAGGGTTTTGGGGGTCCTTTGTAGTATCATCATAATAAAGCAACACCAAAATAGTAGTGGTCAGTTTTTAGGTTCTACATTAAACCCTAAGACACTAAATCTTAAAACCCTAAAACCCCAAAATCCTAAAACCCTAAACCCTAAACCCTAAACAAAGAGCAGCTCAGGAAGAGGGCCACTTTGCCGAGCGATCCTGGGCCGCTCTGCTCTCAAACCCGCTCGAGGTTGCCAAGCAAGGCAAAGTCCTTAGCCGCATCTCTTGGTGAAGTCTACTCAAAGTTTTGGGGGGTTTAGGGGTTTAGGGGTTTTTGTGGTTTGGGTTTTTTGGGGTTTAGGGGTTTAGGGGTTTAGGTCTCTTGGTGAAGCCTCAAAGTTCTGGGGCGTTGGGTAATGAGAGGTTTTTGTAGGGGGTTTTAGGGGTTTTGGGTATTTGGGGTTTTGTATTTAATTTAGAGCTTGGGGGGTTTGGGTAATAAGGTTTTGTAGGGTTTTTGGGGTTTTGGGGGGTTTGGATTTGGGGTTTGAAGCTTTTGCAGAGGTTTAGGGTTTAGGTAGGGGTCTTTGTGTGTTGCTTGTTGTGGTTTGGGTGTATACATGCTCCACATGGGAACGTCTTGGCCTTCCCTCAAAGCAAGAAGCCCCCGCCACTCCCTCTTTCCGATCTTTTCAGGCCCCCACGCTAAGTAAGAAGCCAGATTAGTTCTATCCTAAACCCTAGAACCCTTAACCCATAAAACCCTCAGCCTTAAACCCTAGAGCCTCAGCCCTAAGGGGTTTGGGTTTAGTGCAGCCCAGGCATCGGGAAGCTCTGGCAGTATCCCATGAACGGCATGCTTGAACTGCGGGGTGAAGATGTCACTTGAAACTGCGCCCTTTGGTGCAAAAGGACAGCGATCCACCGTTTGAGGTCCATCATCATCATCATCATCATCACCACCGGCATCATTGATCACCAACATCACTACCACCACCATCAATACAATATTATTCTCCGCTCTTGCCTTACTCGTAGCATCGTCGTTGTCGTGTAGTCACAGGTGCAGGCATCGTCAACAGTAGCAGCAGTAGCAACAGTGCAGCCGAAGCCGCAGCCGCAGCAGCAGCAGCAGTAGCAGCAGCAGTAGTAATGGCAGTAGCAGCAGCTAGTAGTTCGATGTTCGCAGTTCGCCGGAAGTAGTTCGCAGCAGTGAGATAGCTTTGTCGTCGTTCGGAATAGCTGGTAGTTGTAGTGGTGCCAGCATCGTCGCAGCAACATAGGCTGTCGCAGTAGCAGTAGTGGTACCAGCAGGAGCAGGAGGAGGGAGGAGGAGAAACAGCACCTTGTCCTTCCCCAAGCCACGAACGCACCAACGAACCTGAAACACGGTCTGCTGCGATGTCGCCTTTAAGCGGATCCCCAAAAAAGGAACCCTACTCTAATTATTACCCTCCGGTTACAGGCTACAGGGTTTAAGCTTCCTGGAGGTTTGGCCGGGAGCTCCAAATTAGTTTTGATCGCGTGAACTGCATGTCTGAATGTCGCGACCTGACAGCTGCGGGTCCTATTTTCAAGCTGAGACAAAACATGGCCTACACGGTAAGCCTTGATCTCTGAACCGTAGGCCCTGAATGCTAGACACCAGGCCGGCAGGTGTGACCTACCAAGGTAGAATGCCTAGGCCTAAGCCCTCCAATAGCTGTGAGTGCTGTTGTTCGCAACTGCAGAAAGCTATCGACCCGACGAGAAGCATGCAACACACACAAGATATTACGCGATCACTGCTTCATAGGAGCGAAAGGTTTGCATAACCCCCAAGTGAAAAGACTTTCCGTAGCAAGGCTACACGAGGTAGAAACCCTAGAAGCCCCAACCCCTAACCCAGAACCAGGGTTTAGGGTTAAGGGTTTAGGGTTTAGGGTTAGGGGTACACTGCGTTTAGAACCCGAGAATTCGTGGCATGGCGTCAACGACGCCAGCGACGTGCATTCCCATGCCGGACGAGGGGGCAGAGCCTTCAGATGCCACGGTTGTGGGCCCAGGCCACTGGTCTGATCCCCAAACCGGAGTTTAGGGTTTAGGGTTTAGGGAACTCCGCATAGATCCTTTATAGGAAGCCCTGATCGGAATCGTCAAAGGAGCCTTATACTCTTATAGATCCCTGAAGGGATTCTTCTAACTGCCAGACCCAGCAAGTGCAATAAAAAAGCTAGTGATTTCAGTCCAAAGTCCCTGAGCCGTAAAAAATTTTCTAAGTCCCTAAACCGTAAACCCTAGACCCTAAACTCCAAATGCTAAACCCTAAGCCTCAAAACCCCAAGCCCCTCAACCTTAAACCCCAAACCCTAAACCGCCGACACTCTGAAAGCCCTGAGCCCCTGAGCTCTTGACCCTTGAGATCGCAGATTGCCCAAACCCTGAACCTCATAAGCCCAAAACCTTAGGGTCTGAATCTTTTCTATATACTAGTTTCGTTTATAGTTCCTATTTCCTGGGTGAATATAAGTGTACTGTACTTTTCTCCAATATTCAGCAAAACACTGATCGAATTAGTAACGCTGCTCAAACCCTACGGAGCCCTGTCGTCACGATCGTCACGCAGACAGTATATACTAAGTAGTTTACATGCAGCATCTTCAGTCCCAAACCCCTTAGGGTTTAGGGTTCCGGGTTTAGGGCCAAACCCCGAAATCCTGTAGCATCCCGCATAGCTCCGTTTGGGGATTTCAGCAAACTCGGGGTGCAACTGAGGGGTCCTTATAAGCAGGATCCTATCTATGTTGGGATCCCTGATTTTGGGAATCCCCCGCTATCGAACTATTAAGCACCCTTCATAAACCTCCTTTCAAGGGCCTTATACAAAAAGAAACACCTTACGCAGATCCCTTTAAACCATCGTACATAGATCACCAAACCATGCACTACAGTCAGGCCAGAGAAAAGCCGAATAAGAAAGCCTCCACAGGACTTGTGCACGGTTAAGGCTTTAGGGTTTGGGACACCCCTGAATACAATCCTGTGAAATGCTTCCGAGACCTCAATGAAACCCCCATCAAGCCGGCACTTCGGGTAAGATGGCTTGCCCTACTCTAGACTCTAAGCCCTAAGCCCAAGGCCCTGAACCCCAAACCTCAAAGCCTAAACCCCACACGCTACCTAGACACCAAAGAACCTACTTTTTTAAGGACTTAGATAAGGAAACCAGAAGAAGGAAGCCTAAAAAGGTAGGTTCTTCGAGGTCCAGGTAAGCCTTCAACCCTAAAGCCTACACCCTAAACCCTAAACACCTAAACCCTAAACCCTAAACCCCAAACCCTAAACCCTGAACCCGAAACCCTAAACCTAAACCCTAAACCCCACCCTCTCGGAGGCGCCGAGAGCGCCTCAGGGACCACGGCGGGAGCCACCAACGAGGAAGAGTTAGACGAGAGGCTCGGGGGAGTTTGGGGGGGTTCTACAAGGGCTCCTATAAGGGCTCCTATAAGTTCCCTAAACCGGGCTTCTATAAGGGCTTCTATAGGTTCCCTAAACCCTAAACCCTAATATTGTCTAAAAGGGTTTGTTCAAAATAGTATACGGTTCTGTGAGGGCTTCTGAAAGGCTAGGTTCCCCAGTAGTACCCTGTTGCCTGAAACCCCACAGGTGGAATTACATCGCCTCCCTGGCGCTGAAGTACTGGACGCCAGCTGGCGATCAGGAGAAGTGCAGAGGGTGTTTTTTTTTTTGTTTGTACGGTTTATGGGTTTAGGGTTTAGAGATTAGGGTCCAGGGTTTGAGCAGTCTAAGCTTTAGGGTTTATAGCTTAGTGTTCGGAGGTTTGGGTTTCACAGGGCCGAAATAACAGGCACGAACATGTATTAATATCCTTTAGTATTCAGGGAATCCCAATAGCTTAATTAATTAACCAAAATGTATCCCGAGACTCTGTTCTCATTATCAAGGTCTTTCCGTTGAGCTTGAAAGGGTTTCGGGATTTCTGGTTTGAGGCAGGTCGGTTAGGGGAAGGCGTCTTTTTGATGTTCCATGTGTGTAACGTGGATCAAGGTTTTTGTTGTGGCTGAAGGCTGTTCAAGAGTCTAGGGCTTGAAGGTTTAGGCTTCCAGGATTATGCCACAGCTGAATGTAGTAATTCGGAAGGCTAGCAGATCAAATCCTTTTAACAGCCACTAGATGGTTTCGCTTGAGGCTTTAGAAAAGTTTCCGTGTCAGGAGTATAGACACAACTTAAACCTCAAACCCCTAACCCTAAACCCGGCAAGCCCTAAACCATAGACCCTAAACCCTAAACCTAAACCCTAAATCCTAAATCCTAACCCCTAAACCTAACCCACGATTCTTGAAGCTTGGAAAGTTGCGGATCTAGAGTTCAGGGCTTGGGCAAACGGGCTTGCGGCTCAGAGTCTAGAGTTTAGGAGTGCAAGTTTAGGTTTAGGGTTCAGAAAGGATTTGGAGTTTAGGACTTGCGGTGTTGGGATGAGCTCTGAAGCATCAAGCTAAACCCTAAACCCTAAACCTGAAACCCCAAACCCGAA